AGACAGCCAAACTCGACTTGTTTTCCTCGTCTTCCCCCTCTTCCCCCGCGGGACCACCTGCTCGCCTAGAAAACGTAAAAGTGCAAAACATGGCCAAGTCTGGACTAGATGAATCAGAGACACGGAGCAGCACAGATTTTAACGAAAATATTTTTTACTTTTCATTAAAAATGATTTTCAAAAACGGTGCTTTCGCATTTTCGGGCGAAGGGAACGAACTTTTTAGTAAAGTTGTAAAAAGTGAAAAAGTGTAAAACCTAATAGGAAGGGTTTTAATAGTGTTCTTTAACAAAATCTAACTATATTTCGGGTAGAAAAACTATCTCAAAACTACAAAATCAGTCATTTTCGTCGAAAAATATTTTTTTGGCATTTTTTTTTTGATAAAATTTTGTAGTTTTCTCGTTTAGAACTAGTAAAAACCATTTAGAAACAATTCCACTACTTCTATTTGAAAAATTAGATCATCAGGACCAAGGTGACCTCCCCGCCACCCCCGATAATGCGAAAGAGCCCAAAATATTAGTGAAAAGGGCGATTCTATCATTCTATGCCGAAAAGAAACCTGACCTAAGCCTGAGAAAACAATAAGACCAAGACGAATTAATAAAACACGCGTCGAATTAAAAAACCCTCTAGTAACGTTTTGCCCCACATCGACATTTACTCGCTCCTCGACGCCCGTCATCCGGCAAATTAGACGGAGGGTAGCTGATGTGAGTGGTGACAGCCGGAGACGCCAAAGGGATGTTAGCCACCATATAAAAACACTTTATTCGGTCTGGTGATCAACAACCTCTAAAACGAAAACGATACAGTACGTCGCACAACTAAAGTATATAAAAGTTCACAATAGTCAGACAACGAGATTGAGAAGTCGAACCGGGGCTCAGAGAAGTTTCAGCTGGCCGCACACCGAATCGACGGCTTCCTTCGGGCCGAACACACCGAGCACCGTCCGCGAACCGGCCGGAATCTGCGTGTAGCCGGCGTCAGCGACAAGGTATGCCGAGCAACCCTGAAAAAAATAGGATACTTCCAAAATGTCGCCATTTAAATAAGTTAATTTCACGGAAAACTCCGCGAAGCCTATTCAAAAAAATGTCGATATTCTGAATTTCGGCATTATGATTTCGGACTAGGATAGCACATCGAAAAAATAGGTTAGAAAGCTCAACTGACCACTTCCTTCGCCTGCTTCAACAGTTCCATCAGCTGCTCCGTGCTCTCGCCCTTCAGCACCACTTTTACCTGCAGCAGAGTCAATTTATGGCCCGAAAAGAAAGGCTTACAGCTCCCATCCGTTCCCAGCTCTGGATGCCCGCACGGCCCTCCTCGGTGGAGACGGCCTTCTGGTAGACGGCCAAGCACGCATGGCCCACCTGAGCGGCCAATTTCCCGGCGCCCATCTTCAGGCTCATATTGGCGACAAAGACCATCTTGTGGGTGCGGGCATCTAAATCACGATAGAATCAGCCAAGGAAAACGCACTCTTCGCCAACGCCTTGATCACGTCAAAACCCACGGCATTGCTTGGGCCGGCGCCTTCGCCGGTTGATTGAGAGGCTAAAACAAGAGGTTAGCAAAGAATTTGAAAATTGTCGAACCTCCCATGCCTGCGGGTTGTTCGCGGCCCTCGTCAGCCTCGTCTTCGTCGTCCGAGCTGCCCGAGTCGAAGTCGCTGTCGTTGCTCCTGAATTCAGTGATTAAATTCGTGAAAAAAGAATTTAAAAAATTCCATGCAATAAAAACAATAATAAACACCTCTCAACAATCCAGGTGACAGCCGTCTCGATTCCCGCGTTTCCGGTACGCAAAAGGGCCAAATTAGCGGTCCACTCGTCGAATCCGAGCTCCACGAGACCGGCCAACGCCTGCTGGTCAGCTACCTAAAAAAGACCAAATCACACGTCCTGGGATCGGTAGAATCTCAGAATTTTCATAGCTATTTCTGACCTAAAAATAACGTTTGAAAAATGATTTTGTAAGTAGGATTTTCATAAACGAAAAATATTTCCGAAAGCTATGCCTGTGCTTGTGGGTCGAGCGGATGCGCGGCCCTGGCAAAGCTGGCTGCGTGTGAGGGCGGCTGGCCGGAAAGGGATGAGCTTGGAGACTAAACAAAGTTCAGTCATTCAAAAAGATCAAGCTACCGCTTGAAACGGGTCGGGTATCGGTGCTGGCGGCACGGGACCGGGCAGTTGAGCAGCGCTGCTACTAGCCGGGGTATCCGGGATCGAGAACCCGTCTAGGGACTCGGGAATTGGCGATCCGCGCTCGGCCCGGATCGAAGCTGCAAAAATTGAGCCTCATTTTTTAAGCCGAAGCTTACCAGACAACGAATTGTTTCTCGGGATTCCAAGCGTCGGCTCAGGCGGGTTGTCGCCAGGGTCAACGAATTCACCACTAAATCACAAAATAAGAAATTACAACAAGAATTCTACCGATTGTTATTGTCCTCCGGGGGAAGTTGCTCGGCCATAGGTCTAGTTCAACTTCAGCAGGGCGAGCTTGTCCTTGCGCGCCTTTTCACGGAGCTCGCGTTGCTCTTTTCTAAACAAAAACGGATACATTCAATCGCCAGAATCTTACTGGATCTTGAAGTACTCGCTGTTGTCCTCGTTCTCGTGCGGGCCGCGGATGTTGGCCCAGTTGTCGGTGTCTTCAGCGGCAACCTCCTAAAAGAAAATTTAAAAACACAAATTACTCTCCAAACCTTGTAAATCTCCTCCACGGATTTCGGCTTGAACTGGATACCCTTCTTCTCGAGATCTCGGTGCTAAAAGTGGTTCTAGAATCAAAGAACGATCTCACGAGTTTCTCGAGGTTGTCGTCCTCCTTCTTCACCTGCCGGAACTCGTAGCGGACCTCCTAAAGAATCTTTTGAAGGTGAAAACCGCAAAGTGTGCCTGGAAAAAGTGAAGTCCGTAGGCGCCGCCGAGGAGGATCGCGAAAAACGGGAGACCTTTCTTGATGAAATTGGCGTCCCGGCTCATCTAGTGGCTCAAAGAGAGCCCCTGAAATGAAAATGATCAGTACCAAATTTTTTTTGAGATGTCTATAAAAAGCTAAGAAAAAACGCTACAAAAATTTATACAATCTTATTAACCGCTTTTAATTTCACGTTAGAGCAATTTTCAATTGCACATGGAGAACGTAAGAAAAACTACCTTAGTTTCCTGAGAAATCTAGCTACAAAATCTATAAAATATTATTAACCACTTATAATTTATCGATATAGCAAAAATAATGCTTTTCTGGCATAAACCAGCTCCGAAATCCGTACAATCTTATCAACTGCTTATAATTTATTATTACACGTCGTATGTACAAAAAGGCCAAGAAAAGCGACCCGTATCACACAAAAAACCGGGAAGTGGGCGAAATCAAGAAAAATATCAGGTTAGGTGAACTTATCGGGGATTTCATTCAAAATGACCACACGACTGTACTTTTTCTTCAAGTCGGGCCAGTGGACGATCACATCATCGGCGAGGCCGGAAAAGTAGAGGATGGCGCCGGTTAGTGATAGGGATTGGACGCGACAGATCGATTCGACGAACACGATCGTTGTGTCGCGAAGGCGGAAGATGTCGAATAGGGCGGCGGCCACGCAGATTGGTATGCACGTGCCGGGGCCGTTGGTCAGGACGAGGTCGGGGCTGAAAAAATTTAACTTTCTTCGATTCAAGTAGTCGTAAAAAGCTTGGCGCTTCCGGTTTAGCAGGGGATCAAGGTGAATTTCTGGTTCTTTCGCATCATAGGGGAGCACCGATTTTTGTGTACAAGTCTATAAATGTCTAGCAACCTAATAGGAAGTGTTTTAATGGTGTTTTTAGCAAAATTTAACTATATTGCATCAGAAACTATCTAAAAACCTTCAAAAACTTTAGAAGAAGTGAAAATTATGGTCAAAAACTTGTCATATTTTGCCGACGAATCGAGAACTGTACCTCCTTTTTGTTAACTTTTCACGCTTAGGAATAGTAAAACAATTTCTAAGCGCTTCTAACAAGCTTGTAAGCTTTTTTACGAGGTTTGCTATGTGTTTTTTCTACGGTCCAACAAAATGCAAAAAGTGAACTAAACTTAACGTTTTTCCAGTTTTGGTCCTTTTTAAACATTTTCGAACAAATCACTCACCTAAACCTCCACACGACCGCCAGCGAATAGTAAAAGGCCCGCAACGTCGTGAAAACCGACGTGATGTAACTTTGGCCAACTTCTCGACTTCGCGGAATCCATTCGATCCTCGAGTTCTCCTTGAATTTCGCCAGCTCCTCCACCTGTAACTTGAAATGGAAATAGAAAGGGTGCATACAACCCACTTTTCCCTGGCTAATCTGATCGGTGTCGGCGATGACCAAGGAAAACTCCTTGTAGGCGGAGGAGAGGTTCTCGAGCACGCAGCACATTTCCGTTGTATGCCCGCCGGAGCCCATCACGGCTAGCGTTCGCACCTGAAATCAATATTCCTTCAAAAACCTTGAAAACCCCCACCATTTTTCGTTTTCTTGTCGAATTGCGCGAGTGCCGGACGAGGTACCACACGTAGAACGAGCCGAGCACGAGGGCCGTGACAATTGCGATGAGCACGATTAGGAAGATGGACATCTGAAATTGAAACTTAAAATTAAAACTTTAAACTTTAAAAATTATAAACTTTTACAAAAAAAAAACAAGTCCTTACCGGTCCGGGTTTCTTTTATTTTCAAGCTGTCAGAGGTGCGTGGATAGGAGTGTTGCGTTGGGGCCGGTGAGGAAAATCTCAGAGCCAACTTTCGAAACGTTATCTCTTCGATTCGTCAACACAATTCGAAAAAATTTCTTTTGAAAATATCTTCTTTTTGTTGTTCTTGTCATATTTTGTATATTTTAATACTTTTATCCTTTTCAGGCGGTCCTTATCGCCTCCGGAAACCGCCGGCAACCTTTTAGAAAATCACAAACCCAGATTTCTTTACATTCTAAACTGTAATTTTCGTTTTACAGGCTTCAACATGTCGTTCAACCCATACCACGTGCTCGGGCTGCACATTGGCTGCACGGAGAAGGAGATACAGAAGGCCTACAAGGTGCTGTGCCTCAAATGGCATCCTGACAAGAACCCGGATAGGGTTGAGGAAGGTTGGATATTTCTTTGGGTTTTTTGAAACATACGTTTTAGCCAATCGTCGTTTCATCGAGGCGAAGAAGGCGGTTGACATTTTGCTGGACAAGGAAAAGCGCGACGAGTACGAGCATCAGGCGAAAAGAAAGGCCAACCAAGAAGCCAAGCAGAAGGAGAGGCGAGAAAAGGCGGATGGGGATAGAAAACGGTACGATTTCTTTGCTAATCTTGAAACATTTCCTTTTTTTTTAGATTTATGGACGATTTGGAGCGGCGAGAGAAGGAGTTTGCCGAACGAGGAAAGCATTATACGCCTTCGCATAGCGCGAAAGAAAGCGATGAACGGTACAAGGCGAAGCTCAGAAAGGAACATGTAAGTGAAAAGTTTTCTGGTTAAATGCTCCTTTTTTTAGGAAATGCAAGCGCGCGCCGAGGCCGAGAGCTTACGCAAAAAATGGGAAGCCGAGGTGGAGGCCGAGATTCGAGCGCAGGATGAAAGAATAAAGAGCCACGCCCCGCAGCCGCATCATGAGCAAAATGGTAGGCTACCGGAAAATGTTTTAAAAGCCCTATTTTCTTTTTCAGACCCGGCGCCAAAACTGAAGGCAGCCTGGAAGGTCAAGGAAAATATGGACTACGACGAGACGGCCCTTCGGATATTGTTTGCAGAGGTACTTTAGGTTTTATTGATTTTATAAAAGTGTATTTTTAGTACGGCCACATCGACGAGATTCTCGTGCTGCCGGAGAAAAAGGGGAAACGAAGCGCGCTGATCGTTTTCCAGGAGGGCGTCAATGCTTGGGGTGCTGAGACAGAAACAGGTTGGTTTTTGAAATGGAAAACCAATCATTTTACTTTAGGAGCCGGTGACTGCGAAATATCCTGCAAATGGATACAAAAACCTGCGGCGTCCGAGAAGAAAGACACGTCTTCACAGGAAGAAACGGAAGAAGCTGCTGAGGCGAGAAAACATAATGGTACGCCTCGTTTTATTTGTTTAAATAAATTATTATTTTTAGAATTCGCAGAGATGAGCCTCGACGATATGGAGTCGATGATGATGTCCAGCTTTATGTCGACGCCCGACGTGAAAAAGCCGCGATGGGATGACGAATAGATTGTGAATGATTTTAGATTGTTTTTATTTGGTATACTTATCTTTTGTGATCTCCTGTGCTACTATTACCGGTAAATAAAAATTATGTTCGAAAAATAATTCATGGAGAGAAGGAAATTAGAACCGCTATCGGTTGATCTTTGCTAAATTGCTTGAAAAACTTCTGACAATGAATTGAAACTAATTTTGCGTTTGAATTCACGGTTTCAGGCTTGATGCGCAAAAATAGCAACCTGCAGCGCCAGAGAAATGTTCCAGAGAATGAGGGGAAAGAGCAGGAAGATGATGTGAGTAATTCGAGCTCGGGCGTTGGCGAAAAAGCATGACAATAAATACAAAGGATCAAGCCATTTAGGACGAGTTGAACGAGCGTACGAAACGCGTCGAATCGCTGCGCCAAAATATCAAAGAAAGGGCGGCGGCGGCGGGTGGTCGAGCCGGGGAAAGTTCTCCAACAAGGGCTCGTCAAAAGGTAAAAAGTATAGTACAAAAATTCAGTTTTTAGTACAATTCCGGCGGGCATCACAGCCAGCAATCCGTGCAGACCCCTGCAGCTAGCCGGCCTGTGTTGACACGCGCTTTGAGGTAGGTGTCACTAAAACAAGGCCAAAAGTTAAGTATTTTACTGTTTTCTTTCACATTATTGAGGGGGGGGGGGCGATTCTTTGTATGTCCAGAAATGTCTAGTAATTTTCGGGGAAGTTTTTTAATAGTGTTTTCAGTAAAATCTAACTATATTTCTACTAGAAAACTATCTAAATCCTTTAAAAAAGCTTGCCAAAGGCGAAATTTGGTATAAAACAGGCATTTTTGGTCGAAAAAGCGTTTTTTGATATTTTTTAAAATCAAAATTTGGGAAGTTTTGACGTTTAGGGATAGTAAAAAAACGTTTAGAAGACCTCCGCTATTTATAATTGAAAATTACATCCTAGAAAAACAGTGGTATCCCCCGATGATGCGAAAGCAACGTCAAACGATCCCTAATTAAAAGCGGAACTTTCCGAACTTTTATAACCGTTCTCGAAAGCGAAGGTAAACAGCGGTAGAATAAACACGCCGGGGTTGCTCCTCTCAACGCGCGCGCAAGGGGGGAAATTCATTAGCAACAGTTTTTGGGCCAAGTACACGGGGGCCATTCTCCATGTTTTTCGGGTGCGTGTGTTTCCTTTTTTTAAAGATTTTTATTCCTTTAGCATTCGCGAAAACGTGATCGACCCGGTGGCCCGTTTTGTGGGAATCCACACCGGGGTGGCGAATGAGGAGGAGACGGCCGAGGAGGTGGAGATGAAGCGGCAGGAGCAGATCGAGGAAGAGCAGCAGATGTGGTGGCGCAAGCGGATCAGGGTGAGTGAAATGACTCGGCGGTGCTTTAACACTATCGGGGGGAGGCGCCAGATACTTTGTCCATATGACCCAACTTTGTGCATTTTTTTACTATTCCTAAATGTAAAAACGTTCAAATACAAAAATCTGGAAAATTTATTAGAATGTTTCACGACTTTGGATGGGTAGGAGCGCCTTTTATTTTCCATTCAATGGAACCATCGTTTTTGTCTTGCCGATTTCGCCCTTTTTTACAGACCTGGCTTCCATTCCGCAATGACCTCTGCTAGCTTGCCCTTTTTGCAGCTCCTGTCTTCGGGGGTTTTGAATCGAAAGTATACGAAAGTGGTAGCTAGGGGAGAGTTTCGTAATTCTTGTCGTATGAAATCAGAGAGTTTTCGTAGATTTTCATGGGGTTTCTGTGTCGGTATAGTTCAAAGCGTACGGATTATACCCAGATTTTGACGCAAGGAGCCGGAAATCTGCGAGTTTTTCATCGTCATTCGATTCGACGGGCTTCGAAATCTGTTAAAAATCCCGTGAAATCCACGTTTTTGTCTGGTAAAAACTTAGCGTCCCAAAACTGAATTTTTCGCGCTTCAAAAATCGAAAATTAAATTAAAAATTATTTTACAAAAATTAAAAATTAAAAAAGTATTTTGATACGTAGAACCTACCGATTACCTTATTTTTTCTTGATTGAGGATTGACTCGAGGTGAAACAATATTTTTTAACGGAATAAGCTAAAGCTATTCTATGCTTCCAAAATCAATTTAAGCTTGTAAAGTGTAATTCTAATCTTCAAAACGTTTAAAAAACTTGCACTCCTTTACAAAACCGTATTTTTCGCAAAAAAACGTCAAAAAGCCTATAATTGCTCGAATTTCAGCGCATCAACCGGAAGTACGGGATCAAGCCGGACGAGAAGATGCTGGCCGAGGGGTCGATCGTGAACACGCCCGAGCACGCGCTACCGCCCACAAGTCCGGAGGCCGGAGCGGTAAGTGATATGTCGTTCGTAGATTAAGTGAATTTTAGTATTCGATGGATGACGAGGCCGGGATGCGGGCCGGAATTTCCGGGACAGCCATCGGCAGCTTCAACCCGTGCGCCAAGAAGCCGCCGGCGATGAGCATCGTCAGCAACTCGTTGCGCTCATTTTTTCGGAGGTAATGTTTTTTTAAATAAAATAGCATCAGGTTTGAAAAACCGCTTCGCGGTTATCTTGCTTGTCGTGAGATGATAGTTTTAAAGGATTTAAGGGGGGTAAAACGCTTGTTTCAGCGGTTCCCTGGCCTCGTGGATGAAAAAGGAGCAATCGGCCAAATTCCTGACCAGCTTCAACCCGCAGCAAATCGACACGGATGTCGTGAGAAGTGTGATTGATTTTGATCGGATACCAGGTGGGGAATTTTGAGTTTTAAAAGGACTGGATAGTAGTGGAGTCTCCCTCTCCCTCTCTCTCTCTCTATCTATCTCTCTCTCTCTCTCTTTCTCTGTCTCTCACTGTCTCTCCCTCTCTCTCTCCCTCTCTCTATCTTGCTCTCTCTCTCGTTCTCTTTCTCTCGCTCTCTCTCCCACTCTGGTATTTTAAAGTTTAAACTTTGAACGTCGTCGTCTCGTTGTGATAATATTTTAATTTTGGATTTCTTAGGCATACAGAGATTTGAAACATTATTTTTCGGATTTTAGAGCTTTTAGAGCTTTGGATTTTAGAGCTAATTTTAGGCTTATTAAGGTTTCTTGAGCTTTCTATTAATTAAGCTGCGTAAGGCGTTCGATTAGCTTTTAGCGCAAAGTAGGCACCGTTTTTTTTCATTTTCGAAGGAACATTTTTTTTGCCAAACGATAGCATTGAATTTTTAGCGGATAATTGGTGAGGTTTGTTTTGACAATAGTCCATAAAAGAAATAATAAAAATATGAAGTTTTATTTGATTTTTATTTTGATTAATCAAATAATTATTTTTACGGTAAGGTATACAAATTTTGGTTACAGTAACTAGGCGGCCTGGGGGTTCCCTTACGCAGGAGATTTCATCATCATCCAGGCGATCGGGGGGTCAGAATGGGTCGAAGGGTTTCGAAAATGGCCACGGGGGCGAGGGAGGAGGGGTGTCATTGTAGAGATCATTTGATGAAGGGAATTCGTGTCCCAACCTGGTCAATTCCTGTATGCCGATTCGTTATCTGCAGCCTTGCTGTGGGCGCGTAAAATAAATACGCCCCTTGTGCCCCATATTTGCTCAAATTTTTTTTACCGTAGAATTTGTGAGTTTCAGGGTTTTTTTGTAATTTGTAGCTAGGAAAAATCTATTAGAAGGCGCAAACTAACTTCTAAAAATTACATTTTTTGAAAAAGTTGGAAACGCCAGCTTAAACATTTTAGAAAACAAATATGTTTCAAGGAAATTTGTCCATGAACGCTAATTATATCCAGGAATGGGCAGCAATTCAGGGATCTAAATTGTGTATTCTTGAAGACAAAATAAATCGGGTCGGGGTGAAATTTAATAAAATCGAAAATTTCGTTAATTTAAAAGATCGGGCACCACCTAACCAGACTAAATTGAACCATTATAAACTTTGTGCGTTTCAAAATTTTTTCGTAATTTAATCCATTATCAGGAAATCAGGAAAAATCTATTAAACACTGGATTAAACCGTGCAAAAAATCAAGTAACTATTTTTTGCGAAAATCGGTGGCTTCCTATCCGCTACAAAAATGTTACAAAGAAAATATTTTATTGGAATTCGAGTCATCGGATTAGTTCAATTCACAAATTGCCCAATACTTGACTAGGCTAAAACATTCATCTGCAAATGGTTTTACCAACAAAAACTTGCCCTTCTATAATATGATTTTTGTAATTTTTTGTAATTTTATAACTGATATTCTCTTAAAAGGAAGTTGCATTAGCCCGATTTGCGAATCGTGTAATACCTAATAGGATAAAACAGTTATCTGCAAAAACGTCTAGCGTTATAAAGCCGAACCTTTTTAATCATGCTTTTGAGCCGAAATTTTTCAAAATTAGACCTTAAATTAAACTTACCCTTAAATTCTTGAAATAAATTAAAAAATTAAAACTCCCTAAAAATATTACCAATTTTGGCGCGCTTCCAATGTTTTCTCGATTATGACCCGATCCGCTTAATAATTTAATTTGCCTTGATCTAACTTTTGATTTTCAGCACACGGCGCATCACTACCGGGCGGCGCTCCCGGCACGATTCCGGCCCAGGTCCGTTTTTTCGCTGGCCAGGATAGCTTCGAGTCAGGGGCCGACGTTGAGGTAGCGTTTTCAAGAATTGGCTGTTCAGCTCGTGTTTCCCATATTCATTTTTATAAAACGCATTTTCCTAAAAATTTGCTAAAATTTGGAAAAGTCAAAAAATCATATTCAGAGGCATTGAGTAAAAATATCAAAGGTTTGTCTAAGAAAAATATGTTTCGCCTCAATAAAATCCAAAGCGCAAACTAGTCCCGGTAATCAAGTAGTGTTGCATTTTGTTAATTTTGCAGCCTCAAAGTCATGAAATAAACAACAGATGATACAACAAATTATATTATATATAAATCGCTAATGCATACAAAAACCTGCAACATGCTTATTTTTTGGGGATTGCCGGCTCGCATTTGACGACGTTCTGCACCCAAATGACAATGAAACAGCGTTCTTTAGCAATCATTTTGAAAAGCCTTTTCTGCAGGAGATTCTCGGCGTTATTTTTAGAAGGGTGTCAAAGGGCGAAACGGTCTTAACTAGCTCTTTCCGCAATTGTTAATTTTGCAACCTTGAAAATACCGGGACCCAGTTACAATGAATTATTTGATTTCGAACGGGCCGATCCTTAAAATAACCTGAAACACCCTTTTTCCAGATAATCGGCCTGGCCACCACACAACATATTGGAGGGGATCCGGAGGTGACGACGACCCGGCCGAGTTTATTGCCGATGGGGCCGAGCAGTCTGGATACGGTAACGGGGACACCATAGTCCCGACATCCAAAACTACGACAAGCGAAAATAACCAACTCCCGGCAGACAAAATTCCCACAAACCAAATGCCGACATGCGACATACCGACAGCCAAAGTTCCGACAGGCGAAAATGGCGAAATTCCGACTGCCAAAATCCTGGTGGTCCAAAAAAACCCCACATACAAAATCTCGACAATTAAAATGCCGACAGTCAACGGCAGACAGCAAAAATCCTGACAGAAAAAATGCCGTGTCGTGTATCGTGTCCAGATTTCACTGTCGGTATTTTGGTTGCCGCAGTGTGTGGCAGTCGGTATTTTTGTTTTCGGGGATTTTGGCCGTCGTATTTTTGGCTTTCGAGATTTTTCTGTCGGTAATTTGTCTGTCGGCATTATGGATGTCGGTGTGTTGCTGTCGGCATTTGGCTGGGCCTGGCGAATGTCTCCAGGACTGCAAATTTGCATAAATTGAATTTAGGCCTTATTTAGAAAACAATAAAAATTTGAAGATCAATAGAAGATTGCCCGTACAAAAAATGTGTCGCATGGAACAAAAAATTACAAATAACTAGCCAACTATTTAGTGGGTCGTAGCTAAATGGAACCGAAAATGTTAATAAATTGTCTTACAAATGAATTCTCACTTAAATAATTAATTTTCCAGGTGATTCCAATTGGCGGTAGCCTTTCTGAGGCTATGGCTGAATCCCAATGCGTCCCCCTGCCAGCCGTAAAGGTATGCATTTATTAAATTCACTTTTAGGGCCTGCTAATTTTATTTTAATTTAAATTCATGACTCCCCACCTGTTTTATTATTAAATCAATTTAATCAAAGTTTAATATGAAATTTCAGAAAAACATCTACCACGGCAGCCGCGAATATTTTGCCTCGCATAGACCCGTGGCGCTGCGAACGGTTTGTTTTCAACGGAATTAAATTACTAAAAAACGGAGAAACTAGAAAATGGATAAAACGTTTTTTTTAATGAGACGGAAAATTTGATTTCCGGTATTTTGACGATCGGTATGTAATCGAAAATTTCTGTCAGTTTTCAAATTTGAGATGGTCTTTATTATTAATGCTAATTTTTTAATTATTTTTGTTATTTGCCATCGAGACCGCCGAACAAGCTTTGGTAAAAGTACTATACCAACGTGAAAACGATGCTGAAATTCATACATTTTTTTGAAAATCAAATCTTCATCGCGTTGCTGATCTTGACTAAGCTGGTTCTAATAAATTCCAAATCAGCTAAAAGTGAAACATGTGTTCCACAAGGAATGTGCAGAATTAGAAATACCAAAATCGATTTTTGCGAGAAAAATCAAGCATTTTTGAAAAATTTTTGAAAAATTGAGCTGGTTTTAGCCACTTTCAGCTTCGTAAAATTTAATTAAAAACGCTTTTCGGATACTTACACTTCCGTTACTAGGCATTTCCGGGGTTGTAGGTAAAATCTGAATTCCAGTCATTTTTCCTAAAAATCATTTTTCCTAAATTCATTTTTCCTAAATTCATTTTTCCTAAAAATCATTTTTCCTAAAAATCATTTTTCCTAAAAGTCATTTTTCCTAAAAATCATTTTTCCTAAAAGTCATTTTTCCTAAAAATCATTTTTCCTAAAGTTCATTTTTCCTAAAACCGGTTAAATACCGTAAAGGCCTAGTTCTTTAGTACTATGCATGAGAAAATAGAAAATTTTTAAGAATAAGGTCATATCTGCCTAAAGTGATCATAGGAAGTATTTTAGTTGCGCGTTTAGCCTAGATTTGGGTGATTGGAAGTGAAAAGAATCAATTATAATAAGAAAGATTTTCGATAAAAGCCTACTAATAACCAAACCAAACAAATACTGCTAAAAATGATAGCTTTTGGAATTTCTTGATATTTTTACGCATCCCTATTGAATGAAAAATTTTAGGAAAAATGAACTTTAGGAAAAATGATTTTTAGGAAAAATGCTTTTTAGGAAAAATGACTTTTAGGAAAAATGATTTTTAGGAAAAATGATTTTTAGGAAAAATGAATTTAGGAAAAATGAATTTAGGAAAAATGATTTTTAGGAAAAATGAACATAACCCGTAAAATCTCATTCCGCCCCCATCGATAATGCAAAAGCGCCAGAAATCTCAAAGAGCAGAGGGCTCCATAAATAGCACAATATTCACGATAACAGGTAGCTTGTCTTGGTAGAGAAATGTTTCAAGGAATTGCATAGGTAATTCGCGGGCTCAAGATGCATTGACTATCTCGTGGTCAGTAGAATAAATCGCGCCTATTCCACGGCAGAAAATCAATGTTTAATAATATGCAATATATTAAATTAACATTTCCTTTCTAGTCGACGCCGACCCCTTCGTTAAAATCGATCTGCTCGTTGGATGGGGAAGTGTTTTTTGACCAGCTGGCCAAGCCGGAATTACGTGAGTTCATTTGCTGGCTTTAAAGGGGTCTAAGACGCGAAGCGGCCGCTCGGCCTCATCACTAGCACTTGAAATTCAGAATGCCGAAATCTCATACTGTCGAAATTTGATAATGTCGAAATTTAGACCAACAATTTGCCCGGAAAAATCCAAATTATTTGCAAAAACCTGGATATTCATAATCTTGACGTGATGACATTTAGAAATTCCGAAATGTCGATGGAATTTCGATATTATGCCATTTTTACATGATGTAAATTCGGCATTATGAAATTTCGTCGTTATGAATTGTCGGTATTATGATAGCAAATCCCTGCGGCATTACGACATGCAATTCCCACCCGACCGACCCCAAATTTTGTCCCAAAAACCGCTTGGCCACCATAACGTGTCGTAATCGATTACGCAAGGAAAGAGCATTATCACGTTGCGTTTCGCGGGTACGGAAATATATTTTTTACGACTTGATTTTCCTGCATCACCCGGTTAAAAAATAGTATGTTGCAGTAAGAGTTAGTGATCACAGTATCGAATTATTACCTATTGGTACTTGATAAACCTCTCAATTAACGACGATAAATTGATAAAATTTTGGAATCAACAACATATGAATTAAATATCAAAAAAACCAATATAAATATAAAGTAAAATAACCGTAAGATAAAATAACAAAAATCCATTAAATTATTAATAAAAAAAACAATTCAGCCCCGCTCCGGGTTTTGGACCAAGTGCCCGAGGAGGAGCCCACCCCGGGCCAGCCGGAATCCAGGTAAATGGAAGATTTTGTTAGCGTTTTTTACATAGCTAACAATATTTACATTTCTATATACGTTAGTGATTTTACTAGGGTGATTTTACTTTTACTACTACACTCTAAATTTAAATTAAAGCTTGGAAAAATTTAAGGCCATCCTTTCGTTCAAAACGTTTCATTTTTTTACAGCCACCTCGAAACGCTGGAAACGAGGAGCGAGGAGCCGGAAGGTTGGTTCATAAACGGTTTACAAACCGTTTTTTATTTATTCCGTTTTAAGAGGCTCTTTTGCATTATAGGGGGAGGGCTAATTTTTATACGTCCAGAAATGCCTAATAACTTAATAGTAAGGGTTTAAGCTTGTTTTTAACAAAATTTAAATATGTTTAAAGTGGAAAAACAAATGGAAAAACCAGCTAAGCAATTGAAAAAGAATAAAAAACGAAACTTCTGTGAAAGAATATCAAAAGGAAGTGAAATTTCATGTCATAACAATCCAAAAAAGTATGTGTTGCAGCGAAAACGAAAACGTCTTTTTCTTAAGGATAAGTAATATGGCCCGTTGTTCCGTTTTAAGACTATTAGCGCCTAAATTGGACTTGTTTCTAGATAGACTAGGGTTGTAAATCACATCTTTCATTTTTGCTGCTTTTATATTTATATTTTACAGTTTAATTTTGTCTAAGCGCCCCTATTTGGAATTTGTGGGTTAAGCGTTTATTCTTTCCGGTTTGAAAAATGCGTTTCAAAAACATTCAAACTGCGAATGCGAGGGTGCGAGGGCAATCTGGCAAGAAAGTGTAGGCGAACAACTTTTAAAGGGACATGCAAGGAGGGCATGTCTGAGGATTTTCCTAAGATTTTTCCATGCCACAACACGCAACGCGCCTGATTGCGTAATCGCGAAACTGATTACAATACGCTTACCGTACTGAAACGCCAGTCGCGTTGGGTGGCGCGACGCCGCGAAATCCCTCGGAAATCCATACGTAGATAAAGCCATCGTAATGCTTCGTCTGCTCCTTTAATTCTGTTTAAAAATAGACATAAAAAGTGATGTATGGCTAGTAGAAAAGAAAAAGTTAAGCTTAATTGACAATCCAAAAATACACAACAACTTGTTCTAACGATAAGCAATTTTCTTTCTCTAGATTTGCTTCTAAATTGAGTGTGTTTATAAATAGTTTTTCTTCGCTTCTTTTAAATTTCGTATCAAAAAACTATTTGGCACTTTTGTGTCTTACTCATGTCCGTCGTGGCGCTAATTCTGAGCTTTTCTTTGTTGAGCTTTTGCTTACGTTTGCTTTTACGTTAAGTTTTTTTATATTTTGTAACGATAATCACAGAAATTACTTGTTTGCAACCAGATCATGACTGGAAAATTTTCGAAACATTTTTTTGACAAAATTGGCCCTATGGGTTTTATTATTTTCTAGCACGCTCCAAAATATAACAAATACATTACCGTAGTACCGAATTACCGTAATCCACCCGAATACTGTAGACGAATCGACCTCTCGCCCGGCTTCCGATCGTCGAAGAGAACGACATCTTGGTATCTTGCCGCCGCGAGTTTCTTATGGTTGGTGTGGGGGCGAAGGTCGAGAGAGAGAGAGAGAGAGAGAGAGAGAGAGAGAACGAGAGATTGACCCTGTAAAATTCGAAAAAATAATGTTTCAATTCCCTTGCATGCCTAAGAATTTTCAACTTACAATATTATCACAAACAGGATGTGCATTTAAAGTTTAAACTTTAAACTAGCACAGCGAGAGAGTTGGAGAGAGAGTAAAAGAGAGAGAGAGAGAGAGAGAGAGAGAGAGAGAGGGAGAAAGAGAGAGAGAGATGGAGAGAGTGAGAAATTAGGGATTAACCTACCAAGGGTTGTCAGAAAATCATCCCGCTACTTTCAAAGAAAATGTTGCGTGAATAAAATGAATAGAGCTAAAAACATTGAAGATAATTTTGTGCACTTCCATTTTGTCTTGTACAAAAGTTTACCGTATTTTACCCCAAAATTACATGCATGTTTGTTTTCGTGTCCTCTCGTGGAATCGTGTCCCCTTATAGATATCGGACCTACCGTACCCGCAGTGGCAGCGGTGGATGAAGAGGGAAAAGAGACGGACGCCCTACTCGAAACCTATGGAGCTGCTGTTGGAAGGCGAAATCGAAGATTCCGAACACTATGCGTGGTGCCGCCACCGTCATATCGCGAACAGCTTGGTTGGTGGAGGGTAATTGTCCGTTTGCGCGGGCATGCAGATTTTTAAAAATTGACCAGCTATCAAAAACCTTAGGGGAAGTGTGGTTTGTGAAAAAAACATGTTTCGGAAAACGAAAAAAAAACGGAAACGAAGAAGAAGATGATTTTTTAAGTTTAAAATTTTAAAACGCAGTTTTTATATCTGTTTCACGATGAATGTGGGTTTGGTGTCGGGTTGCCCTAACCTATATGTCGTTTGCTGAGGTTATAGAAAAAATTTAGAAAAATATCGATAACTTCGCTGTGATTTAAGTAATTTTACTTATTTTCCAGCTTAAAAACAGAATTACTTTAGATAATAAATAGTTACCTATTTCTAGTGCTACTCCATGCATTTTTCAAAAAGCGTTGGAACAAAGAAATTTTGATGTTTCAGATCTCTCTTGTCAAAAATATTTTCGGCGACAACCCAATATTAGCTTTAGTACAGGCGAAATATCTTCATGGAATCAAACAATTTCAAAATTGCAATTCGGTTTCAATAGCGTAAAATTAATAAAAAAACGGCGTAGAGAGTAGCTTAATAATTCCTGATTCCTACAAAAACTACATAAGTAATAAATCAGCTTTGATAGTATTTAAAATGTCATTAAAAATATAATAGCTACTAATCAATGCTATTCAGCGTTTGGCGACTCGCGTCTTGCCATGCCGACAAAAACGACGTTGGGCCGCCCGGAGCCAATCGACATCGTGCCCGGACCTACCGAAAGGCCACCGGTAAATTTTCTTTGGTTAAATGGTTGAATTTTCGATTATTTTGTTTATTCGAATTATTTAATTCTTCCTTGATAATTTCGATTTTGAATAGTTTTCAAAATTGTCGATAAAAATGTGAGTTTCGAGAAAAACCCCGAAAATAGAATCATAAAATATAAATTACGGCAGCCATATCTCCCAAAAATGCGGAATTTTTTTTGATAACAACTATTTTTCATGTAAACCAGCGTATTAGCTTGTTTGTCAAAGTAGTGACCATAAAATTTAATGAAACACTTTTTTCGGCGTGTACGAAATTTTATACTTTCTTGCGCTTTGGACCTTCGATCCTGCTTATTTTAATTACCGACACGTGTATTTTCTAGTTATTAATTTTGGCAGAAACTGACGTTAGACCATTGGGTGGTCCATTTCTCATTATTTCTGGCTAAAGTTTACTTTTCCCCCCGAAATTTTCGATTTTTTGGCCGGGTTTTTTCGATAGAGCAGCAAAATATACCATGGTGTGTATTTCAAATCGAAATAAAGTGTTTTGAGATATGAACGACTAGTTGATAAATAACGATCTTCTTTTCGAAATTTAAAAATGTGTCAAGCATTTTTGCAACTTTTTGCTATCAAAAAACATGAAAAACATTACAAAAATTGGCGTTTATTACAGTAGTAATTATTATCACAGTTGTGCCAAAAAAAGGATAAACGGTATAGCAAAAATCAGTCCCCCCTGCTAACAGCCCAGTACATGGCAACCCCCTGCTAAAAAGTACAGTCTTAAAATTTTGGGACCTTCCAGCCGTCCTAAATTACGCTTTTCCCAGCGTCGGAATCATTAATGCCAGTCTTGGCTCATATTAAGCCGGAAAATATGTGTTGCGTGGAACATAAACATGCAACATCATTTTCGAAAGCTTTATCGGATCGTTTCTATCCCCTGTATTTTCCTCACTACTAATTTACCTCCCCTTTCTTTCTCTTTAGAGGGATCAGGAAGACTCAAACCAAATATCTAAACAAATTATTTATTACGCATCTGCTAACATACTAAAAATTATCGAAGATCGAAGAGCAACAGGTGGATCCATCGTATCCTGTTCATTAAACAACCAAATATGTTTTGCAAGGTACAATAGACATGAAACATTTTTTAGGCAGTCCCCTCATTGGGCGATAGGATCCTGTTGAACGTCAAGTCAGGCATTATCGACAACCGGCAAAATAAGATCAGAACCAAGCGAAAGATGGGAGAAGGTGATATTTTTGCAGCTCAAGCTTTAGAGGGACGCACTTTTTCATTATCGGGGGATACTAGTTTGCATAGAATCGAGCATTTATAAATCGTACAATTGTTTTTACAGTTTTTTTTTTTTGACTCTTCCTAAACGCAAAAACTCACAACTGTCAGTAAAAATATCAAGACAATATATCCTATTTTTTAGAGTATTTTCTAAAATAGAAGCGTGGTTAAATTATCTAAGTGAAATCCTTTTAAATTACTTTGTATGTTCAAAACTTTAAATAATCGCTTCTCTGGGCCTATCGAGTTGAAGTAAAAATGATCCCCCGATAATGCAAAAGTACCGGGGACGAATAATCAGTTGATTTGCATAGATACAATCTAAAAAAACTGCTGGAATACTCCCTTTAAAAATACATAGGAAGGTTTGATGTCTAATAGAAAATTTTTGCCCTAAAAACTAAATGTTTTGACTAGGTTACTGGTTAGCAACTGTAACACCACTGTAATCGTCGACGAGTTTCCTACATTAACGAAATCTGTCCCAATTGTTACTGGTTCCTTCCCTCTTAGTTATAAGAATAAAAATAATTATGACATGGTGTACGAAAAATATCTTTAATTTAAATTAGCTACCACTTATCAGTAACATTACTTTTCAGGTGTCTTCGGCAGGTTGTGCCTGCGAAAGATGAAAAAGCAAAGTGAGCTGCCCGCCAATTTGCGACAGCAAATCGCCAATACGTCCGATGAACGGTGAGCGGAATAAAAATTTATGTCTTCGAAAAGCATTGACTAGTATTTATACCCTAGATGGGTTTAGAAGCCTAATCCACCCTCAAATTCAAAAAATCCGGCACAATTTCTGAATTTTCTGGAATGCAATTTTTGCAATCCTGGCAACTTTTATTATTTAAATTGTCCACGGAATCAACGAGATTCTGAATCTTATGTCTGAATTTCCTGAATCAAATCACATGTAATTTCGTGAGCTCAAAAAAATCGAACGTCTCGATTTTTCTCAAACATTTTGCATTTCCCCCAACGAAATCTTTTCGAAATCAAAAAAATCGAAAATTTTTGCAATTTTCGACAATATTCCAATATTCGCTGCGCCTATTATAGAAGAAAAAATTCTGGGCAAAGCCAAATTTGTGAAAAGAAAATTTGTGTTTCAATTTTTTTAGGAAATGTTTGTGGTTCGGATCAGATAATAATATAACTACGAAAGACCTCACGAAAAATATGTAGCTAGCCATCGCGGCGGAATTGAAGTGAAAACAGCAAGATTTATTTAGGAATAATACATACCTGTTAAAATACGGTGATCCTTTGAGCCCTTTTTGCGAGATATAGAGCCAACCATCCCCACTAGGACTGTTTTCGAATTATTGGAGTCGCGACATATGTTTCAAACTTTTTAGGAATACTGGGTTAGTTGAATTAAATAATTCGCCAATTGGTGTGTCCGATGAAAATCGCTGGACATTTTTCTGTAACTTTGCTTACCAAGTGAGCGTCTTAGGAAGGTATACAACCGTTAAAAACAGCGCATTTTCCCGCCCGTCTCTTCGTTATCGTATGTTAATCGATTTATCTGAATTCTTGGATTCTTGAATTGAGATAGCTTATTGTAAAAGCAAAATTCTGATTTTCGAAAGATAAAGTGTTTGAAACGCTATGTGTTTCAATTTTTTTAGGGAATTTGTGTTGGTCGGAGTAAATAATGTGTCCTTTCGATGACAGGCTTCCCATGAAAAATAGCTAGCTAGTCATCGCGTGGAATTTCAGTGGAAAATAACTGTTTGAAGAATAAAATAAGCCTATTAAAATACGGTGATCCTTGATCCCGTTGTTCGAGCTATAGAGCCAACTGTAACAAAGTCAAAATTATTTTCGTTTTTGCAGTTACGCCAGTTGTTTCAAATTTATTGGGGATTAGTTGAATTAGTTAATGACCCATTAAAATCGCCAGTCATCATTACATCATATTTCGGCAAAAAATTGTAGGTTGAAAAATGTATAATACCATTGACTAGACTTATCTTCTAGCCCGTCCCTCCCTTAACGTACCAATGGTGCGAGCAAATTTTTTTGACGGGGGACCCGTCCATTATAGAACGGAAAATTTTTTGCAAGACAATTTTTTGTAACATTATGTGTTTCGACATTAAGGGAATTTTCGTCGGTGAGAATAGGTACTGCGAGACCTAGCGAGTTCGATAGAGAAAAAACATTTTGAGCAATATGTCGTTTTCCAAATCTGCTCACCGTGTACTGTATTCGACAAATATCAATTTGAAAATCGTTGATTTCACCATCATTTTCCGCCTGAACCACAGTTTCTGGACTCTAGTTTCGCGTGAACATCTCCCTTTTCGGGCTCATGCCCAGGCATGATCGCGTGGCATATTGCTAGTGCACTTGCTTCATAAGTTTTTATTTTTTTGTCAGTGGGTTCGATTCCTACCTAATGAAAAACTTTTGCTTTTTGTTCTGTGATGCCAAATATGATCTCAATAGCATTAAAAACCAAAAAGCAAAACAGCTAATCAAAAAAGGTTCTGAACCCTGAGCATAAATTTGCAAAAGTTTGATAGGCGCCTGCACTATCCACTAGGCCACAATCGCATGCGGATGCTGGATCGCCTTGCGGCCTATGTCCCGGGCCTGCTCCATGTGCGGCAGCGTGGCGCCACGGAATTTTTTCATTAAAAGTAATTTTTATTGAATACAGTACACGGTTAGCAGATTTGGAAAACGACATCCTGCTCAGAATTTTTTCTCTATCGAACTAGCTAGGTCTCGCTCAAAAACTCCAATATCACCTAAAAACGACTCCTTGCTAGTTTTTGGAGTTACCCCATATGTTTCAAATTTTTTCGGGAATTTTGGCTTGGTGAATTGATGAATTGCAAGGCCGAGGCAAATTCCTAGTAATGACTGAGTAATTTTGCTTACGAACTGCCTGTCTTAAAACGGTACTCTATGGTCAAAAATAGCGCATTTTCAGCTCGCCCCTCCCCTATCGTACCGGTGGTTTCAGCTGAATTTTTTTGACCCAAGCTGTCCATCATCATCCAAAAATTTTTGCGAATGATAACGGTTTTGAAGCGATATGTGTTTCCAATTTTTTAGGGAACTTTGGTTAGTGGGAGTGGGTAATGCGCATTGGCGACACGCCTCCCATAAAAAATATGTAGCTAGTCATTGCGGCGAATTTTAATGGAAGCAACTAAGTAGATTTTTAAGGATAAGATATACCTATTAAAATGCGGTGATCCTATCAGCCCTTTTTACGAGGTATAGAGCCAACCATCACTACGTGAAAATTATTTAGTTTTGTGGTCGCGCCATATGTTTCAAATTGTTTCGGGAATCGCGGTGGGCCGGAGTAGATAATAGGCACCCGTGACAGACACAATTTTCTAGTGATGATTGAGTAACTTTGCATAGAAACTGAACGTCCTAAAGGGGATACAACCATTAAAAACAACGCTTTTTCAGCCCGTTCTTCACCTACTGGATCACGACGGTGCAGGTGATCATCTGCCTGCTGTCCGTCCTCTTCTACGGGTTCGGCCCCGTCGGTTTTTCGAGGGTCGAGCGGTGCGTTTTGAATAGATTTCTGAATTTTTCCAATATTAATTGATTTTTTTAAGCATTCTAGTTCTTTTAATTATCAGAATGGTGTCGACAAGAGATTTTGGTTCTTTGGCATTATCGAGGGGGGGGGGTAATTTTTTCTTAAAATCCGACCGAGAAAGGCCTAATAACGTAATATTAAGGATTTCAATAGTATTTTTACTAATATTGAGTCCATTTCAGGTGGAAAAACCAAGCAAAAAAAATTAAGAAATTAGCTGTTGGCCGAAACATCTATTTTGTAATTTTGTAATGAAATTTTAGGAATTCTCAAATACAGTTTAGATATACTTCCTAACACTAAAAATTTGGATAATAAAAAAATCGTGCCCCCCTCCCTCGATTTTGGCACAAAAATTTCTTTTTTTTTTCGTTGAAATATTTGACCTTTTGAATTTTCTCGTATTTTTAGGCAGTAGCTCCTGGGGTTTTTTAACGATTTTTTAATTGAAAATACTTTAATAATAATAATAATTTAAATGTTTAATATTTATTTCGTAAGGAATGATAACATTAGGTAAATAATAACAATTTAAATCACTAAAACTTATATTTAACTTTCAATATTCCAGAAAAGAGCTAGTAATGCACACGTCGGTGACGCTGAAGATGGTGTCGATGTACGAGCCGGCGAATTTCTGGCTCGGCCCCAGTCATGCAAATTTGATACGGCTCGGCGCCAAATATTCGCCGTGTATGCGGTTGGAGCCGAGCATTTGGAAGCTGATCGAGAAGGACAGACGGTAAATTAACGAGTTTAAAGGGACTGGCAAGGCAGAGGCAATTCCTCAAGGCCCGTTTTAATTTACCGCTAACATCCTATCCTATAAGCGAGAAAAGTATGTTTGTTTTCTGTAATGAGGATTTCTCGGCCGTGAGGCCGAATTTCGAGCTGATTTTTGGCATGAAGGTGGAGAAACACATTTGTCAGACACGCATTTTTTTGTTTTGCGAAATTCTTTCATTTAACGATTTTACAAGCAAAATAGTGAAAATCCTTAACAAAATGGGCCAATGGCCGTGGTGTCCGGGGCATAACTCGATTCGCATTTGGAATTTCGGGCTGAAATTTGGACCAGATATGTATTCGATAGTGGGGATCACGCGCATCTTATTATTTTTCACAAATTTTCAGCGCATTTAGCCTAAAAAAGCGATTTTGTAAAGTTACCAGAAGTCCACCCTCCCGGGTTGAACGCGCCCCCAGGACAGAAGAGGCCTTTCCGCCGCCGGTCCCCATGCCTCCTTTGGTATAATATGAAAAAAATTTCGGGGGGGGGGGGGGGCCCCCAAAAATTTTTTCCAAAAACCACAAAACATTAACGAGAAAACAGCGCCGCAGGCAAAATTTTTTGAAAAAAGGTTACATAGCTCTACAAATAGCCGTAAAAAAGTGAAAAAATAGCGCCGCAGGCAGCAAAATTTTTGAGAAAATGAAAATCATAAGGGTCCCCCCTTATGAAATTTTCGGGCCCCGGCCGATTTCGGGGGGCCAGGCCCCGGGGCCGGTATTACGCTACGTCCCTGCCCCCGGGTTCTAGCGCCGCAGGCCAAATTCTGGAGAAAAACCAGTAGCTAGCGCCGCAGGCCAGAGAATGGTTTAGAGTCAGACTGAAGGGGAATATATGGTTTCTCGACGGGGGCCAGTGGAAAAGGGCCGCGAAGCGGTCATTTTCCACTGGTCTGTTAATAATATAGAATGTATTTTAATGGTTTTAATTGGGAAGTGAGAAAAATATTTTGAAAAATCGGAAGTTTCGATATTTTTTGGCCATTTTTCATACATTTTTGGCAAAAACCCACGTTGTTCGAAAATTGATAATTTTTTATCAATTTTTCTATATAAGAACTGTGTAAATTCCTATACAAAGGTCTATTTTTTATTGCAAAAAAATTGGCTAGCCCGTCCACTCAACAGGAAGAAGCGCAAAATCTTAGAAAATCCATGTTTTTTCTAGTTAGGGTTTCATTCGAGAGAATATGCGATCAGTCGTGCGAATTTTTAACCAAGAGTACATAACTACTATCATCAATTAGTATTCAACATTTATTCATGATAAAATTAGTGGCGAGAATTGTTTGCTAGAAAAAAGTATGGATGCTAGATTCTAGAATTCATGCCAATTCTCTAATGACTAATTTTTGAAACATAAACTTTCAGAAAGCAACAAACCGACTAAATGAAATGATATCCATTAGGTCATAAAATGATTAAGTAACCGCTAAAGACGAATATTAAGTCTATTAAATAGCAATAATTACCAGTAAAGTATATGATGAAATTTTTTATATCGATGGTTGTGCTCAAAAAAAGAGTTTTTCATATTTTCTAGAGACCATCTCTCCAATACGGTAAATTTGGTGTATTTCTTGGGTTTATTCTTGATCATATGGTTACTGCATGAAACTGGAAATTTTTCGTTTTGTGATGATTTCATTTTTGCGGGTTTTCTGTGGATGTGATGGGTGATTTAAAATTATGAATTTGCCAAGAATCCGCCAATGGGCATCCGCCAATTGATTATCCTGGGATTTTTTGGGTCTTTGAAAATACTTGAAACACGATTCGATTAAGTTTCGATTATTGACACGACACGATTTTTTAGTTTGCCGGATTAGCAATTTTTTTTGAAACCGATTTTTTAGAGACGAAAACCAGACGGGCTGCTGCATCTACGACGATGGGAGTGGGTGTTTCCAGACGACTGAGGAGAATTGCCCGGTAAATTCAAGTGTTTCAGAAATAAAACGCCATTTTTATTAATTATGAGCTAGAATCGATATCGTTTAAGCGGGGCTAAAATCTTATCATATTCAAATACAGAAAAGCATGTTATTAAAAATCCGTGTAGCATAGTGATTATATGGACACTATTAAATTTATGCCTTTAATGAGGTTGCGAGTAATTTAATTGGTTCTTTTGCATTTTCGGGGGAAGGGAGCTGGGAAGAAGGGGAAAAGCCTCTGATGCGTCTATAAATTCCTGGTGACGTAATGGTAAATATTTTAATAGTGTTTTTTAGTAAATTCAACTTTAATTTATGTGCAAAAACTATTTCAAGATCAAAATCTCATATTTTTATCATAAAAATTCATTTTTTGGTATCTTTCAATAAAATTTTTAAACGTTTTTAATTTTTTAGTTTTAGATTTAGCCACAATTTAGACGCTCAGGAATGCTAAAAATAGGTTTTGAAACGCTCCATATTTTAATTTTAAAAAATGGAAAGTTGACGCCCTCCTATGTATATTCTTTTTTGCGACCCCCCCCGATACTACAAAAGCACCGTTTATATATATTATTTATGTCTACAATTATTATAAACGGGGTTTTTCAGAGCTACGGTGCCCGATTCCACTCGTGGTCCACTCGGCCACCCCGGCGTCGTCCCAGCAAACCGCAAGTGTTGCCCCTTTTTGATGCGACGTATACGGTAATTCTTTAAAAACTATATCCTAGATGCAAAAATAACCTAGGGATAGCCATACTTTTTGGTGTGAAATTATACGAAGAAAGTGGTTTGATAATTTGCGTATTTCCCTTACAAAGAAACCGCCCATTGACTGTGCCGGACTTGGCCAAAATTCATTTCCAGGGCGAAAAGGCGGTGGTGGAGGCGTTGTTCTCGGGCAACAGCAAGTATACGGTGGGCCCGGTGTGCGGCCAGGATCCCGGGTAAGAAAGTGAAAAGTTTGTGGTGTCATTGACCCTTTAAAAGGTCGAAAGAAAATAGAAAGGAAGTAGAAAGCCTAACCTAAAAATGTGCTCAAAATTTACTAAAAAAAATGTTTCGTTTAGAATTAGTTTTGAAACGAGAGAAAAGATAGGAATTTCATCATTTTTCTCTTTCGTCAATTTCCGGTTTCTTTAACGGATTTACGGTTTATCAGGGGGAAGAAACCCAACTTTTTTAACATTCATTTTTTGCTAATATTAATAGAGCAATTCTTTGTAACTTTTTTTTACTATTACCGAACGCAAAAACTTCATGAATTTCATTAAAAAATACGAAAAATATCGGGTTTTCGACAAAAATGGGCGGTTTTTACCAGCATTCTGAATTCTTAACATTTTTTGTAAGTTCTTAGATAGATTTGACCCGAATACAGCTAAATTTGACTAAAAAAACACTTTTAAAATACGTCGTATGTTAAGCTACTAGGAATTACCGGCCGTAGAAAAAGAGGTTCCGCCCAGCCTCCCCCGATAATGCGAAAGTACCGGTTTAGGATGTGCAAAACGCCGCCCTCCTCTCCGCCGACCGAGTGGAAAAATGACCTGTCGCAATGGCCGGTAAGCAGCGTGCGAAAAATAGAAATTGAATGTTGTAAACTTTTGTAAAGAATTCGGCGAATAGACCGGAGCATTCATGCGTTCAACTTCCACGCTACCTTTCAGTTTTACGAAACACCTATTTTAAATTCAATTTTTGGCATTTTTACCTTTTTTGTCTTTTTTTATGAAACAGGAAACACTTTGACAAACCTAATTTTCCAGTAAATTGATCGCTGAAAGCTTTTAAATAACAGATTGAATAAAATAATTATAATAGATTGAATTGACTAAAAATTAGGAGAAATTGTTGTTTCGAAAAAGAGCGTTGTGACAGCAGTATAATGTTACTAATTGAGGGGACAGCCGGTAGCTCTATTTTCACTCGTTTTAATGGAAAGTCACAAGTCACAAGATGAATGCTCCTAGAATTTTGGTCCACCTGTTAGAACTTTTCTCGAAATCCCATACATTTTGGCCTGCGCGAGCCAAAAACTGCTGCGTTTGCTTCAGCTCCCGAACCAAAATCCAGAAAATGCATTGATTTTGGAGGGCCCATATCTCGGCCATGCAGTGTCCGATTTTGATGATCTCAACATCTATCGATATCTACTCCTCGAGAGCTCTCGATTGGTGTTAAAGGTATCGTATGCAAATGCTTTTATGCAGAGATATCTCGCTTAAACGCTTTCTTGCAAATCGGACGTTCCTGCGGGATTTTACAGCGGTTTAAAGATTTTGTGCCATTACTTTATTTCCAACCGGATACTTAAAACCATCAACGCATTAATGCGTTCAACTACTACGCAAACCTTGAGAATTTTTCGAAACATTTTTTTGAAAGCAGTATTTTTGGGTGTAAACCGGTTTTGATTTTAGCTTTTTTTATGAAGCAAGCAGCTTTTATCTTAGCTTTTTTTACCAAATAATTAGACATTTGAATGCGCAAATTTTTCTAGTAAATTGTTTGCAAGAACGTTTGATACATAAAATTTAGCCAAAATTCCATATTTTAGATCTGCGAATCCGTCTACAAAGTGAGCGCGTATCCGGACCACATGAAGTGTAAGCTGACCGGGCGGCCGTGTTGTCTCATGCAGTTGGTGAGTTTTGGTTTAAATTTAGGTAATTATGAAATCCAGTAAAATGTGATAGAACGGCGCATTTCAGGCTAACTTTAACGCAAAATAAACAGGTTTAGAAAATCTTCATTTTAGGGCCAATGCCGCATCGCTACGCGAGAGTACTGCGCCTTCGTCCAGGGCACCTACCACGAGAACGCGACATTGTGCTCGCAGGTTGGCCTGGAATTTTGATGTTTTGGCGATGGCCGTAGCTCCCCGATCTAAGATTTTGTTAGTCAAATGCCGTTGGCTTGTTTAGAATTCCGGGAGAAAACCGTATGTAAAATCGATCAGCGTCAATAGTACAGTTGCGTACACAAAAATCGAAAAAATCAAGTTGTGTTAAATCTTCATACCCAGCATATTTAAGCATTCTGGCATGGTAATGCACGGTGAAATATTTTTCCTTCTCGAGATAATTGGGGACAAACTTCGGAACTTTTTTTTGATACACCCTGTACAAAAACCATTGTAATTTTCAACTGTATTTAAAGGGGCCAGAAAATTAATACTATCGATTTTCTTGCCTCTAAAGCCCCGTAGATTTTGGCGCACCGCGACACGCAACGCGCGCAAAGTTTTCATTACGTAAAATTAGATGAAATTAATTAGATTAAAACCCCACCCCGTCAAGGAGGCGAATTGACGTGCGCGTTGCATGTCGCGGGCGCGGTAAAACATACAAGAAATCCGTATCGATTCGGCAAAAAACCAATTCATTAAAAACGGAAGAAAATTGCTAACAACGTTAATCGTATTATAGTAATTTTAAAAAATCATAATAATTTGCAAATAGATCGGTTTCTATCTTACTCGGATTATTTCTAGCATGTTTCTAGAAATCATCAAAAAACGTTGAAACACCGAACTCGGTAATTTCCACTAACAACTTTCGGAACAGTGGGTTTTCCGGGCAGGCAGCTAAGCTAAAAAGCGATGAAACATGTGCTTTTTCAGGTTCACTGCATGGAGGATGTCTGCGGAATGGTGCCATTTCTCATCAAAGATCGTCCCGATCAGGCTTCGCGCCTCTTCATCTCCCTATTTTTGCATGCTGGGTATGTTCTGAAATTTTGGTACCTTAAATGGATATTACGGGTAATATTTTTATCTAGCTGATAGAACTGGGTAAAAGTGAAAATGGAGCGCGGGAATAAATAAGAAAGTACGCAGCAATAAATACGGGTTGCC